ACCACTCCCTCTTAGAAGAAGCCTAATTAAAAAATTCACGGTATCTTTTGCCAAAAAAAGGGAGAAAAGAAGCTATTTATTATCTTCGTTTTCCTGTTCATTAGAATAGAGAGAAGGAATCCATAAATTTAATTTCTCTTCCCTCCTTTTTTGATTTTATCCCTCTTCTCTCTCCTCTAAAGACCACACCCAAATAAATTCATATCAAATCAAACTCCTCCTTCTTCCATTTCTCCCCTCCGAAATATTCAACAACGATTCAAAAACGAATTCTTCTTTCTTGGAGTCTCCTTTTTAATGGAGACGACTTTTATTGAGAAGAGAACTATTTGATTTGGAATTATTTTTTGTGTATTCTATTTGGAATTGTGAGTCAGTCTCTCTTTGGAAATTTCAGAATTGAATTTTTGCTGGAGTTTTCTTTTTTTTTTAAACCGTATTTATTTTAATAGAAGCCCACCCACTCTACTGTGATCTCAATTTTCTTGGTTCCTAGAAGATTTATCAAAAATTTATCAACTGATAAAATATTGGTCATGATATGATAAACACTTCATTAGTTGTACATTTCTTGATATCTTTTGAAGGAACTGAGATAAATTCGAAGTTGACGGTTTGGGTTATGCAGAAAATACGGTATATGGGTTCATAGACTTTCTTTTTAGAGCAGGTATAAAAGTGGGAGGGCAAAATCTTCCATTTTGTTGGAATTTTTGAAAATTCCGGAATTTCTTGAAACGAATAGGTTTTCAAGTTTCGCGTGAGATTCTGAAACTTTGAAATTATAAAACTCTGAAATTCCGAAATTTAGAGATTCTGATATTATGGAATTATAAACTTCTGAAAGTCGAAAAATCTAAAATCTGAAATTCTGAAATTTTCAGATTTTGAGGTTCTGAATTCTGAAATTTCGGAAGTCTGAAATTTCGAATCTCGGAAACTCCCAGATCCTGAAATTTTGAAATTTTGTAATCCTGAAAGTCTAAAAGTCTGAAATTCTGAAATTCTGAAATTCTGAGATTCTGAATTTCTGAGATGCTGGAGTTCTGCTTACCTATAGGTAACATTTTAAAAAATCGTGATCATACCCTAAATCTCTCTCTGTCTAAATCTTCGAATCTTTGGTTCTTCAACTGCTGTATCCTGATAATCACCTAATTATTTTCAAACGCTTCCGATCCCTAAATTATTTCTTCCATTCCCCAGTCCAATTTTACTTCCATATGTTACCTTTTGGGCGCATTCTCTTTGATCTCTACCTTTTTATATTCAAAAAAGCCCCCATGTCTCAGTCAGTCTCCTGTTTGTTGGCTGTGTTATGTCGTGACCGGTCCACAAACCATTCCCATCTGTTTTCTATCCAAACCACCTGCCCTTTTCTTTTCCATTCTCTCTAATTATAATACCTGGTCATTCGGAATCGGACCGAAAGCAGCCCAGAATCTCATTCATTTTGGATTCATTTCTGTCTCATTTCTCTCTCTCTCTACCTACTCATTTACCCGCATAAATTGGATTGCTGGTGTCTGTCTGCGACTGTTTTTTTGTCCTTTTTGGGTCCAGAAATATTTATTGCTTTTTTTCGAATAAGGCTTCATTAGGATAGGTTCAAGTAGGAGCTTGTAGGCTTTTGGCTCATTAGAAGAGGGTTGAGAGGTACAGGATTACCAGGCTTCTCGAACCTTCTTTCCTGTGAGGAAAGTTTTGAGATCCTGAGAATCTTTACTTCTAAGATTCTGAGCAGATCTTCTGTTAAAGAATTTCAGAACTTCAAATATTTCAAATAGCAAGGCTCTTGATTTTTTGAAATTCTACCACTTTTAAAATTTTCTTGTTTTCCAAGTCTGAAGAATTCAGGGTGATTGAAGATTTCCGAGTTTTGGATGCTCAGAATATCACCGGAAAGTCTAAGTAATTACAAGAAAACACTTCAGATTCGTTGAAATTGTTTTTATTGGAATTGCTGGGGTTTTTGTGATTTGAGATGTATTATTTCCAAAATTCTAGAGATTCTGAAATCCTGGGATTTCGAGATTTTGAAATTCTGAGATTCTGGGAATCTGAAATTCTAAGATTCTAAGATTCTGAGATTCTGAGATTCTGAGATTCTGAGATACTGAGATTTTGAAATTCTGTTAATCCTGGGGTTCCGGGATTTCAAAATCCTGTAATTCTGTAATTCTTTAATTTTGAGATTCTGAAAATTTGAGATTCTGAGATTCTGAGATTCTGAGATTTTGATATTTTGAGATTTTGAAATTTTGAGATTCTGGGATTTTGGGTTTCTGAGATTTTGAGATTCTGATATTCTGAGATTCTGAGTTTCTGAGATTCTGAGATTCTGAGATTCTGAGATTCTGAGATTCTGAAATTCTGGAAAACTTTGAGATTGATGACATTTAGAAATTATGAATTTTAAGCGTTAATCTAATTTTTAGAAATTCATACTTAAAAAACGCAGACATCCGAAACTAAATTACCGTAAAACCTCTAATAGAACGACACCCGGATCGTCCACTTTGAGCCTATATATCTCATTTTCTGTAAAAGATATCAAAACGTGGCTAACTAGTAAAATGTTGCTGATATCCTGATAAACATTTTACTAGTTAACCACTTTTTGATATCTTTCAAAAGAAGTGAGATATAGGCTCAAAGTGGACGATCCGGGTGTCGTTCTATTAGAGGTTTTACGGTATACAGAAAACCATGAATCACAAATTTAGGATACCGCGAAATCCCTAATATTATTGCACCCAAATTATCTTTGAGCCAATTTATCTTGGTTCCTGTGGAATTTATTCAAAAATGGTAAAAAAACTAACAAAGCGTTCATCATAACATCAAAAATATTCTCTCAGTTTACTACTTTTTGATATCTTCCACAGGAATCGAGATCTGTGGGACCAAAATTGGCGGTCTGAGAGTTACGGTACTTCTTTCTACCATGGCCATGGGTTTGTATGATCTTACTACTCATTCAAATAGTAAATACACTTGGTTGTTATATTATTTCTTGAGACAGAGTTTCTACTATTCTTCAAAATCTCTGCGTCTCTCCACTACTCTACACTATTTCCATGCCCTCTCTAAAACTTATTTACCATTTGTTTTCACAGTCATCCCACCATCATTTGCACTCAACGATTTCGCACACAGTCTGTTCCTTTATTATTGGTACCTCCGCCTCCTTTTCTTCCTTCCTTCCCACCTACTCAATTTCCGTTTCGAGGGTCCCTACTTCTAATTTCTCTGAACCTCTTCACCTTCCTATACTATTTTTCTGACCTTCTCCTATAACCACCCGCCTGTCTCCCCTCACGCATCTTTCATTTTGTCTCCTCCCCTTTCAAGGCCATTTTTTGGCTGATCCCTTCTCTGCGTCTCTCTATTTCCCATGCTCTCTGATCAGTGTGAACCGTTCCACTTGATTCGATTAACTCGGCCAAGTTGTCTTTATTCCTTTTCTCCTCATGTTCGTTTATTCTTATTATGATATATTTATCTTGTCTAATTTCTTCTAATTCCGATTTCTGATTCCGATTTCCGGTTGTTTCGAAATTTATGTTACTTATTTAGCTGCTTTTATGTTTATTCAACTGTTTGATCTTAATTTATTTAATTTGCAGAAACGAACGATTATTCCCCGGTGAGCGAGGGCTCACCGAGCAACAAATCTAACATCTGAATTTGAATATTTCGAGAAAAGTGAGTTTTGTTCTAAACATTTTCACAGAGTTGAGTTATGAAATCTAGTTTTGGCATGTTACTTCTGGTTCAGAATATTCATAGGAATAGGATTTCATAGTTTGCTCTTTCATTTGAAATCTGGAGAGCCAAGTTCTTGAATCCTTGGACTCCAAAACTGAAAAAAACTTTCTTGAAATTTTCTTAACTTTCACATTGATTTTTTTTCAGATTTAAATGAAATTTCCTACAAAACCCACTAAAAACCAAGCTTCTACGACAACTTTGAGCTAATAGTAAGTTAAGGCGATTTGAAGTTTCGGGTCAGAGACGCAGCGTGTCTCGTTTCTCTCCGTCTCTAACCTAAATTTTTGAAATCGCCATATTTTGGCTCAAAACTGTCGTGGAATGCTCCTTTTTAGAGTATTTTAAAGGAAATTTTTTGTTAATTGTTCTAATTCAAATGTTTCTAAAAATCGAAAAAAAATCATTCGAAACACTTAGAGATTGGATGGTTTAATAAGATTCTGAGCCGAGTTATGGTCAATACTTTAAAAAATTTCAACATTTTAGAATTTTCGGAACTCTCGAAAACTATTTTCAAAAATTTGATAAAACGGAATTCTAAAAATTTCCAGGATTTCGTAGCTCAAAATTCGGAAATCTTAAATTATCAAAATCTCAGATTCTCCGATTTTTTAAAATCCGAAAATTTGGAAACTTCTTATTTGGGGGACCCCAGAATGTGCAAATCACAGAAAAAATGTACGAATTTCAGATTTTTTCAAAGATTTTGATGATTATTAAAATTTTAGTTTTCAATATTTCTTTGGCCACAAACAGTTTTCATTCCTATTCCTTTCCAAATCAATCATTTCTTCCTCTTTTTCTTCTTCTTCTTTTCCATCTAAAAGTCATCAGTCATCGTCGTTTTGCCCGGTGATTATATCACCTCGCTTATCATCTTATCACCCCGTTCTTCTTACCCTCCTCAGCAAAAAAAATCAAATACAATTTTTGGACACATTCAAGTTTGTATGTACAACACAAAAATACACAAAACACGGTCGTAAAATATAGGTTGGTGTGAACTTTCTTCTGAAAATATGAACGAGAAAAAGAAGAGACGAGAGACATAGAGGATCAGAGAAAAAGAGGAAATTATTGATAAGGGACTGGAAATCGGAGGGCAGCAGCTGATACTATCAGCACACCATTCGCCTCTCTCTACTGTCCATTTTGTGGTGCTCTTCGATATTTTCTTCCTATTTCTCGAGTATTCCGAATTTTTAACAATTCCAAATAATTAAAAAATGAGTAGCGACGAGGAAGACGCTTCTGGGGCTGTTGAAGCCAAAGATGTGAGTTTCTGGAATTAAAACAAATGGAAATGGAATAGCACACAAACACAGAAATGTGTCTTTTGCACAAAACGAGATGGACACAGAGTATGATTTTTTGTTCTGGAAACTTAAATAATTGGATTTCGTCATATTAGGAGAGAGTATTTTAGTTATGAAGGTTTTTAAATTTAAAAGTAGAAAGGTACAAATGTGAATTTGAAGGTTTCTAATAGTTTCAGACGATTCTAGAAGTTTCTAAAAAGTTTTTTTTTCAGATTTCACTAGTTCTGAGATTCGAAGATTCTGGGATTTTGGGTTTCTGGGATTCTTGGATTCTTGGATTCTGAGATTTTGAGATTCTGAGATTCTGAGATTCTGAGATTCTGAGATTCTGAGATTCTGAGATTCTGGGATTCTGGGATTCTGGAATTCTGGAATTCTGGAATTCTGAGATTCTGAGATTCTGATATTCAAAAATTATTTTTTTATGCAAAGATAAAGAAGCAAAAAATGTCAGAAAATGGCCTAAAATCTGGAAGATTCTGGAAAAATGAACATTTGGAATATTCTGAATTTTATTCGAATTTGAATTTTTTGAATTTAATTTTTGAATTTAATTTCTGAGCTTGCAAGGTTTTCTGGTCCCAAATTGAAACATTCTTCTCTTTCAAGAATTCCAAAAGTTCTCGGATTTTAAAATTCTGTGGTGAATGTTGCTTATTTTTGGGATGCTGATGTTTGAGATTATGAATAAAAGGATTTTCAAAGATTTACAGAATCCCAGAATCTCGTATTCTCTTCTAGTAACTTATGCTTCCCAAAACCTTGAAATCTAAGAATCTACGATATCTGAATTTGTAGAAATTCAGATTCTTTTATACTGAGAGAAAATCCGCGATGTCGATTTTTTGCTCTTTTGTATTTTGATTTTTTTTTCTCTGTGTGTCTTGTACCTACAAGAGTACTTCAACTAAAAAAAAACAAATAATCAGAAGTTGTAACCCCTCTTCCAACTCCTCTATGCCCATATCATAATGCGTCATCCAAACTTTTACCTATGCATCTCTTTTTCGTTCTTTTTGCCGCTATAGATTCCCCGGAGCAGTCGGTGTGCTCTTTTTCCCAGTGGTCAGGAGGAACATCTGGCACCTATTCGTTCGAATGATTTCGGAACAACAGATGTTCCACATGTTTCTTTTCATTACCATCTGACCGATTCTTTTGCTCCATCTACGTGGCAAGAATAATTCAGATTCCTCTACCAAAACAGACAACAAACACACCGGTGTACCAAACCTCAAGTTAATAATATACGCATCCCTTCTCTGCGTCTCTCTTTCTCTCTCACTCTCTCTGCTTCTTCTTCTCATCTCTTTTTATTTACGTTTGCTCTTCATCCCTCTCTCTGTCTCTCTTTCGAAAACCGTAACCGGCAATATAGAGAGAAATAGTACTGAGCCATAGAAGAGACGCAGACATTGAGGTACCGGGCAACCAGCCGGCTCGCACCAAACCGTTGAAAAGAGTCAAATTATTATTCTGTATTTCTTCTTCGGAGCTTTAATTTTAGCTTCCATGATTTGGTAAGATACAGTAATACCTTTATCAGGAGCAAAGTAGAAGATATCAAAATCATTTTAATCAATTTTTCTCTGTTTGAATCTATGATATTTCGAAAGCTCAAAGTAGTCCAACTAGATCCTTACGACCCGAACATTCATTAAGAATAACAAGTTTCTAACATTGTTATCCCAGAATAAACACAATCTTAAATTCCAGATGTCCTGGATGTTACGAAGTCTGTCCGCCAGATTCTCACGGAATCGAACGCAGCCACAACAGAAAAATCAGTCACAGGATGCCAGTTTCGATACGAAAAAGTTTGTACAATGCAAAGTGCTTCTACTAGATGGAGCCCATTTGAATATTGTCGTACCGGTGAGATCTTTCGAAATTTTTCTAGTGAGGACTTCAATAGAAGACCATCCTTTACGTGCATTTTGAGCTCGATTATCTCGATTCCTGTGAAAGATATAAATAAGATATCAACTGATAAATTGTTTACCAATTATCAACAACTTTTAATTAGTTGACATAGTTGTTATAACTCTTATAGGAATCGAGATAATTGAGTTCAACGTTGAAAGTTGCGTACACCGGTACTCTGACTATGAGAGATATTTAGCAGTACTTAATTTCCCATATAAAGTGAAAAAAAATTATCCGTTTCCAGTTGTTACCCTTATCGTTTTTTTTTATCTCAAGGTCTCAATGAAATCCATTCATGTTTTTTTTGAATTTACAAAAATTTTGACATTTTGAATGAATGCCGTAGAACCTGTAATAGAAGAGCCCCTAACTTTTAACTTTGAGCTAATTTTTCTCGATTCCTGACGATGATATCAAAAAGTTGTCAACTGATAAATTGTTTATCTTAATATCAGAAGTTTTCTGTCAGTTGACCACTTTTCGATATCTCTCATAGGAATTGATCTAATTGCGCTCAAAATGTATAGTTTAGGGGCCCTTCTAATACATGTTTTATGATAACTAACTGTTAAAAAACTGACAAAGAAGTCTATTTCATGATTTTTCTATGAAAACTCATACTCAAAAGTTTCAAATTTCAGAGAAACGCAATTGGAAGTGAACTTCACGAAGAGGTTTTCTACTCATTGGACCTAGAAGAAAGAGATTATTTTGGGCTCCAATTCACAGATCAGTTCAATGTTCAGGTATTTTCCTATTTTCTAATTTTTTAGCGAGAAACTCCTTTTTTTCAGCACTGGCTAGATCCTTGCAAAAAAGTAGCTAAACAGGTAGCCATTGGACCACCATTTACTCTTCGATTCCGAGTGAAATTCTTCACTTCTGAACCATCGAGTAATTTGAAAGAGGAACTGACAAGATATCAATTTTTCTTGCAAATCAAACAAGACATTTCCTCTGGAAGACTTCAATGTCCACATCCATTGGGAATCGAATTGGCTGCGTTGGCTTTGCAGTGTGAGATTTTTATAAAAATAGTTTCCTAGAAGAGACCATCTGATGATTTCCAAGAAGTCAAGCCGTCCACTTTGATCTTATATAGCTCAATTTCTGTAAAAGATATCGAAAAATGGTCAACTGATAAAATGTTGCTGATATTACGATTAACATTTTGTCAGTTGACAACCGACCTTATTCATTGAGCTCAATTATTTCAACTCTTGTATAAGATATCAAAAAATTGTCAACTGATAAAATATTGGTAATATCATAATAAATAAATTATCAGTTGACAATTTTTTTGATATCTTTCACAGGAACCGAGATAAATTTGCACAAAGTTGGAAGTCGGAAAGTCAGTCTATTAGATAAATAGTTTACGGTAGCTCTGAATTAGAAAAAAATTACCAGAACTTTCTGAAAACTTTAAAATTTAAAATTATCGTAACTTTTCATTTTTTCAGCAGAACTAGGAGACTACAATCCAGAACAACATACTGCTCTCTTTATCTCAGAATTCCGATTTCATCCGGAGCAAGATGAAAAAATGGAAATCGAGATATTGGAGAAGTACAAGGCGTGTCGGTGAGCGATTTTAAACATTTTTTAGGATTAGACGCTTTCTTGAATTCCGGTTTTCAGTGCATTTTGACCCAAATAATTAAGCTAATATTTCCAGTGGACAAACTCCTGCTCAAGCGGAGTTGAACTACCTAAACAAGGCACGTTGGATTGAAATGTATGGAGTGGATATGCACATTGTCGAGGGAAAAGATGGGAATACGTATCGATTGGGATTGACACCACAGGGAATGTTGGTGTTTGATGGACCGCAGAAAATTGGATTGTTCTTATGGGAGAAGCTTCAGAAGTTGGATTTTAAGAATAAGAAAATCACGCTGGTGGTGGAGGAGGATGCGGATCAATCGGTGAGTTTTTTCGGAAAAGCTGAAAACTGGCAGTCAAGAATCAGAATTCCAAAAAATCAAAAATTGAAAATATCGGATAGATTTTGAATGCCAAGATTCAAAAGTCCAAGGACTCTATATATCAATTTCTAGTATCAACATCTTAAACCTTCCAAATCCGTAATCTTAACCTTTTCCAGAACAATGGGCAAATACAACTTCACACTTTCGTATTCCATCTAACGTCTGAAAAAGCAGCCAAACATTTCTGGAAATGTGCAATCGAACAGCACGCCTTCTTCCGTTTGAAATCCCGTCCAGTTCAACCAAATCGAAAAATGCAATTCTTCCGATTAGGAAGCACATTTAAGTATAGAGGACGGACTGAATATGAAACTATTCATAAGGAAGGAGCGAGATTATCCAGAAGACAATCTTGTAGTTTTGAAAGAAGACCTTCACAAAGATATGGTCCAAGGCAGAGTCATGTGACGAACGCACAAATGAGGGATGCTAAACGGCAGGAGATGAGGCAACAGGTGAGATACGTTTCTTAAATGGCAACTCCCAGAAAAGCTACAGTATCGGGCAAAAAAGATGTCATACATAAAACCTGTAATAGACACTACCCCTAACTTTCAACTTGATTATCTCGATTCCTGAGAAAGATATCCAAAACCTGTCAACTGACGAAATATTGGTGATATTATGATTAATGTTTCATCAGTTGCCAACTTTTTGATATCTTTTACAGGAACCGATTTAATTGAGCTCAAAGTTCACAAGTCGGCCCTTGTCAGCTGAGCTACGTGGTCGCTACGGACCTGTTAACTTTGAGCTCAATTATCTGAAACAGTCAAATTACGATGTCTTTTTATCTGATTTATACACGAAAACATTGAATTTTCAGATTCTGGAGCAACAACGAGCCAACGAACAACAGCAGCAACAACAAAGATCCCATGCCCAGTCTGACCCACTTCCACCCCTTCCTCCAGTATCAAATCTTCCAATCCCATCATCTCCAAATCTCAAAAAACCATTGATCAACAATAATAATCCATTCATCGGTGACCCATCTATCCCATCATCTTCTTCCTCTTCATCCCCATCCCACGTCACAAAAATCACAGTCGGAACTATCGGAGGAGGAACATCTGAAACGTCTCCATCATCATCTTATATTCCACGTCCAGTTGTCTCTGGATCCTCCTCATTCTCCCATCCACCACCACTTCCAGCTCATCAGTCTTCTTCAAAAATTCCCAGAATGAGCAGTTCGACAGACCCCAGAAAGTATTCACAACCACCACAGCCAGCTGTCCGAATGCAGAATCATTTTGATGTGAGTTTCAGGAAATTTTGAAGCGGTTTTCAAATTAAAAAAAGGTTTCAGGATTCTCGAAAATTCTCGCAAAACGGATGTGCGATACCATCACGAATCGTACCACCAATGCAACATCAAAGAAGGATTGTAACTGATTTTTGATGTATTTTAAAACATATTCTTTTGTGTGTTTCAGCCAATTTTTCATTAAATGAAAGTGTTTTTCCTTTTTTTTAAGATTTTTCAGCAATAATATTATTCTGGTCTGATTTCAATGCGCGTTGCGGCCGCACGGTGTTTTTTCCGGAACGTTTTTTGAAATATTTTTTTCGCGCGTTTTTTTTATGGAATGCAGGTCCAAAACCGTAAGACTCAGCAGTTCAATTTTAAGATATCGCGTCGAGACTAACGATAATTTTACTACAGCATCCCTGTTAGCGTCCGAGCGCATTTACATTGCAAAAAAATACGTTACGAAAAAAACACCGTGCGGCCGGGAATCCGAGGGTGGGCGGAGCTCAGGTCCGGTAGCGAAATGAACTTCGTCTTTAACTTTTTTGTCTTAAAAGTCACGAAAAATTGCATTAAGAAAACGATTTTTTTCTCGAATTTCATAGATTTCGGACTTGTTTAAAACGAAAATCCGGAAAAATTGCAAGAAAAAATGGGCAATTTTTTCAATTTAACGACAAATTGTATTGATTTTTCGATAATTTTCATAGTTTCTATGTGATTTTCTGCAATTTTTCCGATTTTTGTTTTAAAAAAGTCCAACGAAATCAAAGAAAACTTGAGAAAACACCTAAAATTTTCCCAGTTTTTTAGTTTTCTGGGCCCTTTTAATGCAATTTTTCGTGATTTTTTCGATTTTTGTGACAATAAAGTTACAGATCTGTAAAATTCGTCGAAAAATCGAAAAATAGGCCTGAAAATAATTACGAAAATTCACGCGCCTTTAAGGATTTCGCTATCGGAGCTCCGCCCACTCTCGAATTTCAAGGCGCATTGAAATTAGGCCAGAGTATCAACCACAATTACCGAGCAAAAATAGTTTATTAGTAGGACGAAAAATAGTACCGAACAATAGTAAAAGACAAATAATTTGAAAATTTCAAAAATGCAAATTTTTTTATTGGAAAAGTGAAAATGTTCAGCTATGGGAAGGGTTGATCGGTGCGGTGAAAGCTTCGGCAGTCATTGGGCGGTTGCTGAAAATATCTTGATCTTGGAGAAATAAATGGGTTACAGTAGTTTTTTGGTTAGTCGGAGATTTCGGGTTAAATGGTGGTGAATTGGTTAGGTTATTGTATATTGAGAATTGCAGGTTTTCAAAATATAATTATTCAAAATTTCGTAGTATGTCTGTTTTTCTATGTATCCGGATGCCTGTAGGGTTAGTTGCACACCATGCCACCACATCTCTCTTATCGGCACCTTGTCCTCATTATTATTTTTCTTATCAATTGATTACGTCTGCTTGGATCCGCCAAACTTCTCTCCAGAGTCCGTGGTCAAACATCCGGCTCCCAATCCGAATCCGACTCCTTTTGGTCCGAATTTTCGTCCGTGACACTGTTTGCAGTAGAGTTCGGCCTCATGAGGAGCAACAGTACACGAGTCGAGAAGTTTGTTGCACATGTCTGGAGAATTTTTGTGAATTCAGAAGAAGACGTGGGAAATTTTGTTTTGAAAAAGAGAAAAACGAAAAAAGAGGAATTGTGGCTCTGCGTTGGGAGGACAATGTTAGTTGCACAGGAGGACAAACAGACATACAGACAGATAACATATAAAATAGTTGTTTACGAACGTCATATCAACTTCTGTATTTCCAAATTGCTCTCCAGTGTCCATAGTGAGAGATCCTGCTCCGATTCCGAATCCGACACCCTGGAAGGTTTTTTTTTGAAAAAAAATTGTTTTAGAATCGAAAACTTTAGGTTAGATATCATAAATCTAGCGATAATCATAAATTGAAAAAATGATTCAAACTTTTAAATATTTCAGATAATTTCAAAAAAATAATTTAATTTTTGTAGTATTACATTTTTCAAAAAAAAACCGTGTTTATTCTAATAGAAGTCCACCCAATATGTGCACATTGAGCTCAATTATCTCGGTTCCTATAAAAGATATCAACAATCTGTCAACTGATGAAATATTTATGATATTATGATACGCAATTTATTAGTTTACATTGTTTTACCATCTCTACCATGAATCGAGATAATTGAGCTGAAAGTTCGGTTAGTCTGGTCTAAATTCAATGCCGGTTGTGGAAAGTGAGCGGAGCTTAGATCCGGTAGCTAAATCTTAAAGGTGCATTTGAAGAGCATATATTTTCGTAAGTATTTTCTGGCCTATTCTATCGATATTTCAATGATTCCTATTGTTTTATGCAATTATTGCGATTTGACAGATTACGGTTTATAAAATAGCGCAAAATCATTATGAAATTGGGAAAAAGGTCAGAAAATATTTAGAAAAAGCTTTCTTTAATTGCGCCATCAAGTATTGAACCTAAGCTCCGCCCACCCTCCAGTTTCAAATCGGACATCGTAAAAGCTAGAAGCCCACCATATAGCTCAATAATCTCGGTTCCTGTAAGAGAAATCAAATAGCTGTAAACTAATAAAATATTGATGATATTATGATAAATATTTTATCAATTGACAAAACTTTGATAGCTGTCACAGAAATAGAGATAATCGAGCTCAAAGTTGACGGTTTGGGTGGGCTTCTATTACCGGAAAAACGGTGTTGATTTTTATACGACAACTTTCAAAATTTAACTCATTTTTCCCAGTCATATTTTATCAATAGTTCAACGGCGATCCTTACCTTTGGTCCGTATCGCCTACAATGACACTGCTTGCAGAAAAGTTGGGCCTGATGCTCACAGCAAGACATTGAATCCAATAATTTGTTACACATACCTAAATTGGACAAGAAGAAGTACAAAGAAGCAGAGGGACTAGGACAAAAGCACATAGGACAAGGATATAAACAGAGCCTTTTTTCTCTTTCGTTTTTCCAGAAATAATTGCAGAAAACTCACTGCACTTGAAGCAGAATTTGTGCCATTTGTATCCGCCGGCACTCATCTCCTCAGCAGCGTACACACTTTTGCCGCATTTCGGGCACTTTGGATGCTCGACAGGCTTGAATGGCATTCTGGACTTTTCAGATTGACGGAAGGATTCAAGGAGAACATGAAGAAGAGAAAATGGAAGACGTGGAAGGAGAAATGGTGAGTCAGTTATGGGCGGAGTCCCCTGATGTTTCGTCACTTTTTTGTTACAAAGAAAACAATGAGGAAGATTTTAGAAGAAGTAAAAGAGGAAGGGATAGGGGCAAATGTTAGAATCTGGTCGACATATGGCCAAAACCACGTCATTTATCTTTTGAAATTGGCTCCTAGCCTAATGGGTTATCTAAAAAGTGATTTCAGAAAGTCCTCTAATAGAAGCAAGTCCACAAAAAAAGCCATCTTTGATCTCAGTTATCTCGGTTCCTGTGAAAGATATCAAAAAAATTGTCAACTGATAATTTATTTATTATGATATCACCAATATTTTATCAGTTGACAATTTTTTGATATCTTATACAAGAGTTGAAATAATTGAGCTCAATGTATAAGGTCGGTAACTCCGACTTGTCAACTTTGAGCTCAATTATCTCGATTCCTGTAAGAGATACCAAAAGTATGTCAACTGATAAAATGTTTTATACAACATCAGCAACATTTTCTAAGTTGAAAATGTTTTGATATATTTTACAAGAAATGTATTTTACAAGAAATATGAGCTCAAAGTTGGTTGGCGGTTTGGTTGGGCTTCTTTTAGAGCAAATACGGTAGTAACGCATTTTGTAGTCTTTGCTAACTTAGAGAAACCTGATATTTAAGTTAACTAAAAAAGCATTTTGAATACTACAAACAGTTTTTGTTAGTTCTTGACTTCAGACTCCCTAAATTTTTGAAATGTGTATACGATATTTACTTTTTGGATCAGGAAATCCTTTCCTCGTTTTCCCTCCTAACCAAACATCAAGAAATCAGCTAAACTTTCCATCTGATTAATGCATGTAAAATCTTCTGGAAAATTCTTTTTTAAAAGAGAAAATGAACAAACTAAGAGCTAAGAGAGCATATGTACAACACACAGGCCTATTTGTTCTATTTATTATTTCAGAAAGGCGCTTTTCGGAGGCGGAGGACGGGGGAAAACTAACAAAAATGGAACCGCCCATGTTTCTTTTTCTTTCGGTACATTTTTAATCATCAAAAAAGAAATGGAAGAAGAAAAAACAAAAGGAATTGTATTGTGGGGCTTTTTTAATAGAAAATGGTATTGTATTTTTTTTTGATGATACAAAAAAGGGAAGAATTGTTTTTGGAATGACGAATCTGGAAAAGGTAGGAAGGATTTTTGTGTAGGAGGAACAATAAAATCGGAAGCTGATAAGGATAAGGATGGGGAAAGTTCTAGAATCATGATTTCGAAAACTTTTGAATCCCTAAGAGTTTAACTCTAGAGTTTGGAAAATTGAAGATTTTCCAGGAACACATACCGTTTCCTCTAATAGAAGCCTACTCAAATTTGAACTCAATTATCTAATTTCCTGTGAAAGATATCAAATTTTTGTCAGCTGATAAATTATTTATCATAATATCATCAATATTTATCAGTTGAACTGAGATCAATTGGTTCAAAGTGCACGAATAGGGTGGATTTCTATTAGAAGACATAGGCAAATTAGGAGATATGAGAACCTTTCAGAATCTCGGAATTCTCAGAATTCTGAATTTCAAAATCTAACTATTCTAAATACTGGAACTTTCGAAATTGAATGGCACACAATAGATGAGCTCCTTGGGTATTTAAAAGAGTACGAAGTGATTTGGAAGTAGCGAAATGTGAAATGAAAAGAGATAGAAAAGAGAGAGCGGACAGTTGGTAGATTTTACACAAAAAGTAAGAGAAGGGCCTATGAGTAAGGGGGCGAAGAAGGAGAAAATGTAGGAAAAGAAGGTGACGAACGGATGGATGTGGAAATCAAAGAAGAGGAAAAAGAACAACTGACAAAATGGAGTCAACTTTGAGAGAGAATGAAGAAAATAACAATTCTGGATATTTTGTGGTTATAATTAAAAGATGAATCTAGAATAAACAAAGAATTCCAGAATTTCAGACATCCAAAATTCCAAAACTTCAGTGCTTCAGCATTTCAGAATTTGAGAATATTGAAATTCCAAAATTCCAGAAATCCAAAATCTTGGATTATCACATTCTCCGAATTCCAGAACTTCCGAATCCCGGAATTTCAGAATCTCAGATTCTCAGAATTTCAGAATCTCAGAATATCATAATCTCGGAATCTTGGAATCTTAGAATTTAAGAATTTCAGAACTACAGAATTCCAGGATAAGAAAAAAGGATTTCAAAATTTGAGAATTTCGAAATGCTTGAATTTCCAAATTCCATAATCTAAAAACACCAGAACCTCAAAATCTAGATTCTCAAATTTTCAGAATTCCAGAATGCCAGAATCTCGAAATCTAAAAATTACATAATAATTTGCAAAAAATATCTTTCCCAAGAGTCGAGAAAAAATTCAAAATTCAAAACCGGGTGAAAATTGGTTTTCTAGAATTTCAAATGCAAGAATTCCGTTGAATTTTTTGCAGTTCTAATAATTTCAGCTAAATCGCTTTTTCATTTTCCAGTGCTAAAACAAAACGATTTCATCGGATTTAGTGACCGCTCGAAAAATATATTGTAAAGTAAAATTGTGGTAAATACTCCAGACTCCCAAAAGTAAAAGTGTAAAGTCGAAAAGGTCCTCGAATCAATTGTGTACAACTTTTCGGGTAGGTCACACAAAAATGTAATAAAAGCGGGAGGAGAAGAGTAGGAAGAGAGGGTCAAATCCACACAGTCTGGTTCCAATTAGTAAATATTCGGAGATATCTGATATCTTTGTGTCTCTCGATTTATCATAATCTATCAGGAAGAGGGAAAAGGAAACATTCCATTTAAATTCAGGAAGAAGAAAAAGGCGACAAAGTACAGAAGAAAGCCAATTGATCGGAAAGGTTTTCGGGGAAAAGGGAAACGACCGAAGAAGAAGAAAATTGAGAAAATGTGCTCGGGACGACGACGAAAAATGGCACTGTTTGTGTACGGGGGAAGAGAGAAAATAGGAGATTTTTGGAGGAGAGAAAGAAGACAAACAGACAATTTTGAAGGAGGAAAGAGACTGGATTATCCCCGACGGGTTGCACTCAAAAACCACCAATCAAAAAACAACACAAATCGAGTGCACCCGGGGATTTCCAGAGAGTGACCAGAAAGATTTTTTATTTGTATCAAGACATCCGGATAAACCAAAGTACATATCTCCATAATTTTTAACTTTGAGCCAATTTATCTCGGTCCCTGTCAAACATATTAAAAAGTTGGTAATTGATAAAATTTTTATCAAATTTTCAATTTTTTTTAACTCAGTTGACATATTTTTGATATCTTTTCACAGAAATCGAGACAATCTATTTTGAACTTAAAGGTGGGGGGACAGGAGATTTTACGAGGGATTTTTGGGGCCAGAGTATGCATTCTACCGTCACGGTGTACAACGCTTAATGTCACTCTGCGTACAGCTGTCGCCCTCGCCTTTATGTATGCAATCGTGCTGCGGCTTTCTCTTTGCACGCGTAGCTCAGTCGGTAGCGGCGCCGCACCTTCAACACTCGCCTCGACAAGTTCAACTCCTCGAGGAGCATATTTAAACGAAATTTCGACAACATTATTTTTCTCATGTCCCCCCACCTTTAAGAATGTGGGTCCTTCTATTACAGGTTTTATGGTGTTTTCAGACTTTTAAATACCGTATTTGTCTCAATAGAAGCTATTATAAGCTCAAAAACCCGCTTTGTAATAAGCCCACGTCTTTTAAATCCGCTAAAAATCGCTCAAATTGGAAAACTAGAGTTTAAAGGCTCATGGACCATTTGAAAAATGACCTTCATCTAACCGAATTGAATTCATTTCAAAGCTCTTTTCAAGCTGATCACACTAATGTTTGTAAGAAAGTAAAATTACAATTGGAAAATTTGACTTTGGCAAGCTTTAGAATGAGCCTAATCATGACCATATTTAGTCAAAGTGGAAGTTTCCGATGAAAAATCCAAAGCAAGACACTTTTCAGTTTATTTTAAAGCTCTAAAGTTGCTGAAAACGTCAAAACTGGAGTTATCTACAGTAATCTCAGAACTCTTTAAATAATTATTTTAAGTGATACAAGATTAATACAAACTTCGAACCTAATTATCTCGGTTTCTATGCGAAATATCAAAAATCTACCAACTGATAAAATATTGGTGATATTACGGCGTTAGCCGACAGCGTAGCCAGTCGACAAGGGCCGACATTTCAACTTTGAGCTCAATTAACTCAATTTCTATGCAAGCTATCAAAAAATTGTCAACTAATGAAATTATAACAATATTATGATAAAAATTACATCAGTTGTACATTTTTTGATATCTCTCGTAGGAAACGAGATATTTGAGCTCAAAGTTAATGTTTTGGATGGGCTTCTATAAGAGCCAATACGGCAGCCGGACTTCAAAGTTATCAAATTTTCAAAAAAAAAACAATTCAGAAAAAGTTTCATCAAGTAAGAAAAAAATAATTTTATTCACAACGGAAAAAATGCAATTTCAAAAAAAACTTAATTAATAGAAATCTGAAAATGATATAGAAAATGTTATCACAAAATGGTTTTCAACTGAAAATAGCGAGGATGTTTAGAGTTATCTATACACGTTTGTGATCCCACACTGACCCGAATAGCTAGCAAAAAAAAACTGAAAAATAACTGAACAAATAAAATGAGAGAAGCCTAAATTACGGTAATTAAGCGAAATTAAATATTCTGATTTTAATTGAACTCGAAATCTCTGAAGCAATCCATTCGTTTTCGATCTTCAATTGATAGTTTCTCGTTGGAAATTCCTCGTCCGTAGACGAGAAATTCGAAATATTTATATGAGACGAATTCGAATCCAATCGGTTGGCTCATCGAGTGTTCGTGAGCCACAATGAAGTCGTGCTGGAATTGGGGAAATAAAAATAATGGAATAAATTTTGAATTTGTGAGATTTCTAGGCCAGGATAATAGGCCTTACTGTAATGCGGTTATTTAGAGGGAATCACAATCAGCTAATTGCTGCGGCAGCCAAAAATACTGTAGTTTTCTAGGCCACTTGCTTGTCTAAGTGGACTCCACGGGCTGGCAAGCGAGAAGCGATTTACGAGCTCAAAATTAAAGGCGCATGTAATTTCCTGCGAGGGTGTCGCTTGGCTGGCCGTGGAGTACACTCGGACAAGCAAATGGCCTAGATAACTCCAGCAGTTTCTGCTTCGCCATAAGTAAATTTCTAGGAAAATTCAAAAAAAACTTTTTTCACTCACCTGTTCAATTTTGGAAGATGTCACAAGTACAGTATGAATAACAATATGATGTGCAGTTAGTGAATGAATGAACAGTCGAGTGCCGCAAGATGTCTTTGATATCCTTGTTCGAAGTCCCAAAACACTTCTATCATTGAGGCCTGTATGCCAATTCTCTATAGTTCCCACTAAATCCACAGCTCCATTTCCCTTCTCTTCGTAAATCGACAAACGATCATCGGCGAATCCAACAAGAAGAAATCCTTCCGTCCTTTCCATTGACGTCACTGAAGATGATAACTTCAGAAGTTGCATTCGTTCACTTTTCAGCTTTTTCTGTTGATGACGATCCAGATCATTCCAGATTTGAAGAGTCTTTGCGCAGCTCACGTAGCATCCCATTGGACGACCGTGGAAGCAGATCATCTGAATTTTTTAAGTGTCATTTTTAAAATCAGAAGATGTGACGCCTACATTCTGTACACTGAATAGCGGCTCGATCTGTGCGATGAACTTTTCAGTGACGGTGAAATCGTGTTGTCCGGTGAGAAGTGCAACATAGGTTCGGATGGCTTTATCAGAGAATCCGACGGCGTAACGAAGTTTGCACGGAAGTTGACGATACTGCATACTTGGATCCAGACTGACGTTCAAGACTTCTATAGGATGACCGTTTTCATCTTCAGCTCGGGATTCTCCAAGATCGTGAAGACCGATTAGGCTTTCTGGAAAAGTTTATAGAAATTGATTGGGATTTTCAGTCGTCTGGTGGGTGGAAAACAAAAAAGTTCGAAAAGGTTCAGAGCCTCACCTTCAGCATACTGTAACGCTTTCAATCTGACAAAAGTGTCACTAGCAACGACAGCAAAAGATCCTCTCTCATCAACAGAAAACGGGGTGACTGCAATGGAATGAGCTCCTCCTGTATGATGTGTCACACGATGCCATCTATCCTGATCCTTCTCAGAAACGACGACTTCTGCATCAGTACAATGAAGAGCGAGGAGGGATTCTCCGGTGGCCAGGAGTTTGATACAATTGACAGCTCCAGATGAAATTGGATGGGCTAACATACTGCTGGCAACTACGAAATGCTCATAGTTGGATGCGAAATCGAAGGAGAGGTGGAGAAGTCCACCGGTGACACTTCCGAGGATCTTAATAAATTCAGAAATTTGGAATTTTAAAAACTCTGAATCTAAAAAATTCGGATATTCAAAAATTCGGAAAGTCAGATATTGAGAAATTCAAAATATAACAGAATTTTTAGTAACCAATTTCCGACTTGTTTTTCTCAAATTTTCAAATGCCTTACCATTTGATGCGGTTCAATGAGAATCGATGAAATGCTGTCAAATGCCGGAATTTGTAGTTGATTACCAGCGTCCAAGTAGCGTTTTTCGCTGAAAATCGAAACCTTTCGAAACACCGTATTCCAAATATAGGTCAGAAATTAATGATAAATTAAAACCCGTGCTAGATTGAGAGGGAAGAGGTACATTAACTTAGTGATAGAGAAGTGAGGGGCGGATAAAAAATAGCATGTCGATTCAATTTTCCTACCCTTTTCCTGCTTTTGAACGATTTCTGAAAGGTTTTTAAAGTTCTTAGAGTCTTTTCGATCAAAAAAAGATTCAAACCTATAAAAGTAGATTGGAAATACGGCATTCTGATCTGCTACATAGACGCCTTCTGCAGATTTCATGGCACATGCGGCGGTGAGACACGTGGCAAATGAGGCGTCCAGGGAGATGGAGGCGACTCTGAAGATTTGGGATTTTCGAATGTTTGTAGTTTTTGATGTCTCATAAAAAGCAATAACTACTTTTTAGAAGCAAAACAGGTTGTTTTTAAAACTATCGTATTTGCTCTCAAAGAAACCCACCCAAACTTTGAGCTCAATGATCTCGATTTCTGTAAAAGTTAGCAACAATCTGTGAACTAATAACATTTTTATCATATTATCACCAACATTTTATTAATTGAAAAACTTTTCTCTTGCATCTCTTGCAGGAACCGAGATTATTAGGCTCAAAGTTGACAAGTCGACCCGCGTTGGCTGAGCTGTCAGCTCCCAACCTGCTAAGTTTGAGCTCATTTATCTAGATTTCTGTGAAAGATATCAAAATTTTGTCAACTGATAAACCGTTTATCATAATAGCACCAACACATTATCAGTTGACACATTTTTGATATCTTTCACAGGAATCGAGATAATTAAGCTCAAAGCGGATGGTTCTGGTTCACTTTAATTATATGGAATACGGTAGCTTCTTAAAGCTAAAAAATCGGTATCGATTGGTCCGTACAGTCTAAAAATATTTGAAACTGAAACTCTACTTAATATTTAGAGAAATTCACAGAGCCACCGTACAAATTCTGATTATATTTTATTTCGAAACCTCAAAATTTCCAATTTTATTTTTGAAAGCTGAAATTACCGTATCTTGGCCAGTTTTGAGCAAACTTTAAAGAAAACAAAACCATAAAATTTGACTGGAATTTAGCTTAAAAATGAAACATGATTAGATTTGGTCGAGGTACCTAAGACTTTTGAAATTTTCAAATACACCCAAATATTGGCATGTTTACACTCATTTTGAAGCTCTCAACTAGGGAGATTTAACTGAAAATATCCCACATGCCTTTTTCCCTTTCTCGGATAAATAGCCAATGTAGTCAGACCAGAAAGACAGTACAAAGTGATATCTCTGCTCTGTGAATCCAAAACGAAATGAGTGTATACATCCTTTTTATCTCCTCGATGCTCGAATATATTCTGACTAATGATCATTCTCATATCCTTTGCACTCTCAGAACACCCATTCAATTGATCGATAATCTGATCGATTTTATTTCCCCATTCGGCGGAATGTTTCTTGATTTGATCACTATTCACTTTGGCTATCAATTCATCCACCACCATTCTTTTTTCCTCTACTGCAATCCAACTTTTCCCGATTAAATTCTGATTTCCAGTCTTTTGAACTTCATCGCAAAGCTGTTCCAATTTCTCCAATTCTTCTAATTGATCTACGAGAAGTGCGATCATTTGCTCGATTTGATCATTCATATCCATGTATGATTTTATAATTGTGATCAGTTTTCGAAGAGAGATTAGGCGTTGGGATACTCGTTCACATCGGATCTGGAATCATTTTAGGTTAAGCAGGAAGATCGAAACTTACCGTTTTTGCTCACACACTTTGAGCTCAATTATATCAGCTCGTTTGAGTGATATCAAATTTATGTTAACTGTTAAAATGTTGGGGATAGTATGAAAAACATTTTATCAGTTGACAAATTTTTGAAATCTAGCATAGGAACCGAGATGATTAAGCTTGAACTGTATGGGGTTCTATTAGAGCATATAGGGTGTATTTGGTTTCCTAACTCAAAAAGTTAATGCTCACCGACTGATTTTTGAAATCAACTTTAAGTTTTGCAAAATCCTCGGTAGCAGTATCTCCTTCCACGACTTCCTCCTCCGAAACCAACTTATCCGATAGACACTTTGACGTCGTCAGCATATCTTCTCTTCTCTGTTTTTCAGTATCTTCAAACTTCTGAATCCTGCCAATCTCCTCGAAAACAACATCCAGCAAGACACTCAAATTGTTACGATTCACTGCTACACGTTTCACCAAAAGCATATCGTCGTATTGCTCATGAACCACTCCAACTCTTACGAACCCATCGTAATATGCCACGTGGAGAAGTCCAGAATCTCTCCAGAGTAAGCCACTGGTAATGGGACGGCTGGAATAATTTTAATTTGGATTATAATCTTTCAGATTACAGTAACTCACTTGCATCGGAATGCTTGAATACACTGAAAGTGGTCGGATGTCTGCGCACAAAATGAGTAATGATACAAACCGGTTTCCAGGAGAAATACCAGAAGAAGCTGAAAATCACATTTTTAAAATAAAATTATTTTCAACTGGCTCTCTGGCTCTCACCTCAGTGTTCGAATGCTTCTCTGCATTGACAGCTACAATTTTTCCAGGAAGTTTCAGAATTCGACTTTTCGAAACTGTCGAACTTTCGAATAGTTCAACAGATTGAACAATCGACACGTGGTAATCACCATTGACGATGACGTCTTCAGTTCCTTCGATTGGTTGAATCAATCGGACAACGTCGTTCGAACCGAACACCACGACATTGGTTACTCGGACTGGAAGACCAGTGTGTTGGGATCTTTCCAGTTCCAGAGCATGGATTACTTCCAGGTCACCACCACAACCTGTAATTTTTGAACTTGACCGAACATGGAAGAACTATCCTACTGTAAATGCTCTAACACCTAATACGTTGAAGCTCGATTATCTCGGTTCTTATGCAAGATCAAATATGGTGCCTATGCGAGATATCAAAAACTGTCAACTAATAAATTGATCATCATAATATTATTATCCCCAACATTTTATTAGTTAATCAAAATTTGATATATTTTATAGGAACCGAGATAATTGAGCTCAAAGTGCACAGTGGCAGTTTTACTGGAGCATTTCTTTTCGAATCATACAAATTCCTAGCTGCTTTTTTGAAATATTTTAAACTTAGAATTTCTAAAGGTTCAGAACATTAGAAGACGTACCTGAAAGAAGGCGTCCATCGTCCTGGTGTCGAAATAGAGCGCCTCGGACCCGATAGGATGGATGTTCCAGGGCGTACCCTGTCATGGATCTGCAAATTTTATTTTTCGTTTTGTAGTTCGTCAATTTATATTATTCAGGTACAAAAAAACTCAGAAGGTCCCACAGCGACAAATACCGTAACCCAATAAATTCGTCGACTTTTCTGTCATTTTACCTCAAACAAGGCGGATAATACAAATTTTTGACTGTGAAAAAAAATGACTGGAAACTCACAAAATTTCAAGATAATAAATCCGGAAAATGACAAAAATTTTTGGGTTACGGTAGTTGTCGTCCTGGGACCTTCCGCCACTTTTTGACGCCCAAAACTACAAACTACATAATTCAAAAACTGACCTTTGTTGAAAATCTTGATGCGAAGTTGTAGATTCAATCATACCCTGAATATTCAGACTTACAAGTACTACTAGCAAAACGATATAATACGTTGTAATTGACCAAAAAGAGACAAGAGGGATAACTACAATATAATAGGGGGAATAAGAGAATGTCGAAAAGAATTACGATCAGAGTGATCGGAACAGTTACGGACAGGAAGAGAGGAAGAGAAGAATTGTATAAAGTTTTGGTGTAGCTTCTGACTAATTTAGGCGGAAAAAAGAAGAAGAAATGTATATATTGTCTCTGAACACTGTGTTCTTTCGAAACTTTTTGGGCTTATCAGTGATAGCGAAAAAAAGAGACGAGACAGAGACACTTATCAAGTCGACAGTGTGAACTGTTTACCGTTTTGATTATAAATGGAGAAAGGTTGTTTGGCCTAGAATTTACAATACAGGAAAGTTAGGCCTTGGAAAATAAAAAAGTACACGAAATGACTAAATTCTGATCATTATCTTTTTGTGTGTTCGAGAAGATCTTCATCTTTTAGATTCGAATTATGCCATCATCTCTATTTCTCTTTGGGTCTATTTCTTTTTACGCTTCACTCGTATTTACAATCCATGGACTGAATCAACAATATGTACTATGTGTTTGATTACGTGTAAGGAAATAGTAGAATCAAGCTTTGTCAATTTTGGAAACGACGAGAATGTACATACCGGGAACAGAAGTAAAATGACCTTCATTAACTTTTAACTATGAGCCAATTTATCTCAGCTCCTGTAAAAAATATCAAAAAGTTGAAAACCGACAAAACATTTTTGATAATATAATAAACATTTTATCAGTTGACATCTTTTTGATATCTTTTGCAGGAAATGAAATAATTGAGCTCAAAGTGAACAACTCGGTAGCGGACAGCGTAACTTAGCCGACGAGAGCCGACTTGTCAACTTTGAGCTCAATTATTTTGGTTCCCATAAAAGATATCGAAAAGTGGTAAACTGGCAAAATATTTTTGATAATATGATGAAAATTTTATCAGTTGATATTGTTTTAATATCTCCTACAGGGAATGAGATATATGAGCTTAAAGTAGATGGTTTGGAGAACATTATATTAGAGATTGAACGGTATCGTTCACAGTACCCGGAAGCCCGGAAAATCAATTCAAAAATTGATGGGATGCTCTTAAATTTTCAGCGGACATTTGAAGAATAGAAATTCATTTTGGAAGCTAACAACTGTTTTGGTGGAAACTCATCCCAATCCTAAAATACTGTAAATACCCAGTATGTAAAAATTGAGCTCAATTATCTCGGTTCCTGTGAGAGATATCAAAAAGTTGTCGACTAATAAAATTTTGGTAATCTTACGAAGCACATTTTATAAATTAGCAAAATTTTGATATCTTTTGAAGGAACCGAGATAATTGAGATGGAAGCGAAAGAAATCTTCTAGTAGAGCATTTACGGTATCTTGGAAAATTTTAATTTGAAAGTTCTACAGGTTTCCAGATGAAAAGAGCTATCAGCTAGATTCAAAAAACAATGCAGGCTCCAAATTTTGCCCAAATTTGCAGGAAATTATGTTGAAAAAGTGTTATGGATTCGGAAAATTTTTGTTTGAAAGTTGTTTAAAAAATAATTTTAGTAGTTGGAACTCAACATTTTAAATCAAAATTTCTTTAAAAGTCAGATTTAAAAAGTGCATAAAAGTTTTAAATTGTTAGATCTATAAAACATTTTGAATCTAAAAGCGAATCGTTTTTTTCTAGATGTCTGTTATACCAAGGATCAACATACCGTGTTTCTTGTAATAGAAGTCTACCCTATACGTCCATTTTGAGCTCAATTATCTCTGTTTCTATGAGGGATATCAAAAAATTGTCAACTAATAGAATGTTTATCATATTATCACCAACATTTTATTAGTTGACAAATTGTTTATATCTTTCACAGGAACCGAGATAATTGAACTTGAAGTTTACGCTTTAGGCGAGCCTTCTAGAGTGTTTACGGTAGTTCTTACAATTAGAGAAATCACTTACAATAAGCCTACAGAAATACAGAAACCTACAGTAATATCGATCTGAAATTGCTCTCAAAACTATTTTCCAATCATTCTCTATCAAAAAATAACAACAAAAATCACAAAAAGAGAGAAGGTCTAGACAAATTGAGTGATTGCTTGGAAAAGAAGGAAAACACGGAATGCGAACAAGAACAATAAGAAACAACCTTCGGAAAGAAAAGATCTTCTTCTTATTCTTTCCGAAAAGAAAGAAGAGAATTAGAGAAAAGAGGAAAAGAAGAGGAAGATCGGCGTTTTTGAGCTCTCTTCGGCGACGGGAAAAAGGAACACGAAGCATCAGAAGGAAGCGAAAGAGTACTCGGATCAGAGAGGGATCAGACACGCAGATAGTGTTCGGGGTCGAGAATTGATTTTTGAATCTCACAAACACAACAAGCAATACTATGGGTACGGGGGGCAACCAAAATATGGAGAAGTATTGGGAGGAAACAGTGTAGAAGACGAAGAGACATTAGAGAACACTATATTTGCAATGTAATTGACAATTTTTTTAGTGAGAAAAGGAGGAGAAGGAGAACTGTTGAGTGGTTAGGTTATCAGAAATGGGTATCAGAGGAAAAAGAAGAAAAAGAAGAGGAAGAGAAAAAGTTGGCGGATTTATGACCGGTAAGAAGAAGAAGGAGAAAAAGAAGAATAGATTGGAAAAAGATGGGAAGAGAATGATGATGACCGTATTTGTGACTGATTGATGGCTAAATCAGAGACAGAAAAGACCAAAGGTAATGGGATTTTAGGGAGAAAAAATGGATGGAATTTTCAAGAACGAAATTCGAGAATTTTCAAGGTAAAAAATTTGGAAAAAAAAGTGGTCAACTGACAAAATGCTTATCATAATACGAAAAATATTTGGTCAGTTAATCACTTTTTGATATCTCATATTGGAACCGAGATAATTGGGCTCAAAGTTGACACTTTGGGGCACTTCTATTATAGATTTTACGGTAGATTTTTCAGATACCTTGACAGATACCTAAAATCGGAAAGTTAGGGGCCATTCTATTAGAGTGTTTACGGAATTTAATTCTTCCGGATTACTGTACCTGACAAATCACAATCACCAAAACTTTGATATCACGGATAATATTAACTGGGAATCTGGAAACTTCAAAATTTCGAAATTCAAGATCCTAAAATTTTTGAAACTAAATATCTGGATAATCAGGAATTGAAAAGAGGAAAATGGGGAAACTTCAAAACTGAAAATAATGTTCGGAAATTTCTAAAAATTGAAATTTCGAAGACTTTAATCTAGAAAAAACTGGAAAGATGGATTATCAAACTCTTCAAAAACTACCGTAACACATGTAATAGAAGGGCCCCACACTGAGCTCAATTATCTCGATTCCCATGCAAGATATCAAAAATGTGTCAAATGACAAAACATTTCTGATATTATGATAAACAATTTATCAGTTGACAACTTTTTCATATCTTTGACAGGAGCCGAGATAAATTGGCTCAAAGTTAAAAGCTAGGCTTTCTCTCCTGTTATTTGAGGTGCTACGGCATATCTATGAAAGTTAAGCACACCTTGAAAATTTTAAACTTTGGAAAACTACAGTAATCCGAAAAATATAGCTCCTATTCCACTTCTATATTCACAAAAATGTACTTTCTCTTTTCCTTCCCCTTTTCAACCACATAAAACCTTTGAAAAACTGGAAAAAACACATTTCCTATGAGAATCCTCCTACACCTTCTTCCCCCTTTTTTTTTCAAATAAAGCGATTCTATTGTGATTCTTTTTTATAAGCTTCCGCCAGATGGTTAGGAATTTGTTTTATTGAAAAAAAGGATAGGAAGCGATTGACGAAATGTAATGATATGTGTTCGACTTGCTAAAGTGAAAGCGAATCTAATTTGCATTATTATGATTTGGGTAATACGTGGAAAAGGGATGTGGAAGAGAAACGTGGCAGCGGCCGAAGGTCCCACAACGACAACTACAGTAACCTAAAAAAATTTTGTTTTCTGTATAACTCACTAGGGAACTATCTGCACGGGATTCCAAGTTACACTTTATGACCTATATTATTAGAAAGCCCATAAAATTCTGATTCGGAATAAGTTTTCTGTTTTTGCGAATCGGCGGTGAGCTTCGAGAAAATTAGGTTACAAGACATTTTAGTGCTGTTTAAACATGTTGATTTTTCATTTAAAATCGACGTGACGGTTTTTTTAAAATCGACGTGACGGTTTTTTTATGGGCTTTCTAATGATATAGGTCATGAAGTGTAACTTAGAATCCCGCGCAGATAGTTCCCTAGTCAGGTCTAATGCGTTCCAGCCGGAAGTTCGATAATGGGCGGAGCTTACGTTCGGTAGCGAAATTCTTAAAAGCGCATTTAAAGCATCGCGTGTTTTCGTAATTATTTTCTGGCCTATTTTTTCGAATGTTTTTATTGTTTTTATGCGATTTATGTCGGTTGTTTTAAAAAGAGTCCAAATCAATGAAATTCGCTGAAAAATTGAAAAAAAAAATTGTTTCAAGGTGATTTTTTGTCTTTTTTCCGATTTTTGCGAGAAAAAAGTAAAGAAATCGACAAAAAATAGGTCAAGCAATAACTACGAAGAATAAATGCTCCTTTAAAGATTTCGCTGGAACCTAAGCTCCGCCCATCGTCGAATTAACGCGCGTTGAAACTAGACCAGAATAATAACCAATCCGGAAAATATAATTATTTTTAGGATACGGTAGTTTTCGTTGTGGGACCTCTCTGGTAATCGGTTTCTAACCAGTTTCGGGCAATTTTCCAACCAGATTCGGGAACGCGCATTTTACAACCAGATTCGGAAAGTTTTTATTTTCCGACCAGATCTGGCGATTTTCTGACCAGGTCTGGTGATTTTCTGACCAGATCCGACCGAGAAAGCTAATTTCCCAACCTGATTCGGACAATTTTCTAACCAGATCTAGCCATTTCTGCTCCGGAATTTTCCCGAATCTGGTTGGAAACCGGTTACCAGAGCTTAGGCCGCAGCCACAACTCGGATTTTTTCGTACCAAAATAATAAGAAACCCAGAATAAAAAAAAATATGCCTATTGTCTATTTCTTGAGTGACAAAGTGAACCAATTGAAAAGATAAGTGAGAAGAAAAAGCGATCCGATTACATTTTTCTCTCAATATCTCTCTACTTTTTTCTCATCAATGTCATCTCACACTTTGTACTTTTCCCCTCTATATCAATCATCATAATTTTACTATGTTGTACACGTGGCACTTTAGCGGAATTTGTTGAGCGAAAACAGGTGGATAAACAAAATAATGAAGAAGATGGAGTGGATTTTTGTTTCCCGAAAGAGTGCTCTCTTTGCCTCTCTCTCGCAATTTCCAATGTTTCTTTCATTACGACAAAGCATAGTAAAAGATAAGAGGAGAAAACAGGAGATCCGTGAAGACGCAGAGTTATGATCGATTGATCATCATCTGTGGAGATGATGAGCAACCGGATGTGAATTTTCGGGAACTTGAAGGGAAAACATTAGGGAGGGAAAAGGGCAAATGTTTTAGAAAACAAAACATTACAACACAAATTTATCCTGCACATACGATTTATTACAACAAAATGATGATGATTGCTCGGAATGGAAGGAATAGGGATGGGACATTTTATTCACAGAATTCATCGTCTTGTTTCAGATATAAAGAAGAGAATAGAGAGAAAAATTCAAAGAAAAGGAGAACGGTTGGGTTGTTCTTGTTCTTAAAACGTTTTAGATATGAAAGGAACCAACAGGAAAGAAGATGAAGGAAAATTAGAATAGAAAAAAGATTAACCAATGGTGTCTTTGGGGTGAGATGGGGCGGAAAACAGAGATACTCTGAAATGAACGAGATTTATAAATTGAGAAAGAATTATGGGGTCGGGTGGGAAATCATTGACGAATACATTTCACAGAAGATTATGTTCACATGTTTTTTCCGAACACTGTCGAAGTGCTAGTGATGGATTGACTATCGATATCATCAGTTGTTGGTGGCCCGTCGCGTTCGGTTTGCTCTACGGACTCCTTCAATCTATTGTACTCCTTTTGTAGAAGCCTGACGTTTGTTGGCGTTAGACCAGCCAGAATACACTTTCCGTTCTTTCTCCAACGTTTGACGTTACACATTATACTATCGAGCATTGTGAAAATCGCATCGATCGTTGCTGGCGAGTCCCATTCGTCTTCGGATTGACAGAACGTTGGATAGATGAGCATTGTCGATAGATCACGACCAGTTGAAATCTTCTTCCATTCCTCTATCGACTTGCACAATCCGTTACGTACGTTGCGGAGAAGATCAGAATTTGGATCAGCTGAAAAATTCGATTTCCAATATACACGACAATATTTCAATATTACAGTTGGATATTATAGAATCATTGGGCCCTCTAACAGTTTGTTCTGGTATCAAAAAGACGAGATCTGGTTCGCAGTCAGTAACAGATCCACAACGATCCGGACGATAGTTGGCGCGAATTTCGTCCTTCACCATTTTCTTTACCCTATCGTCGACAAAAGTGGCAGCAGTTGAGGAAACTGAAGAATTTTTTTTTTCATTTCATTGCTGAAAATTCACTTACATGGAGAGCCGTCGGCTTTGACATCAACAGCCACAACGTCAAAATTCAGAAGCTCGTTTTCAGAAATGCAGGTTGAAGTGTCGGCTTCCTCTTCTTTTCTCTTCATCTGCTCGACCTTCATCCTCAAAAGATCTTCTGCTGGAATCTCGGAGATGATGATGCGATCAAGTAGACGACGAGAACGTTCTGAACGAAATAATTGAATGAATGGAATTTTGTTTCAGTCAACAAACCACGCTTGTTTTGATCATCTCTCTTCGACCCAGACCTCGATATACTCTGCCCATTTCGAGATCCGATAGTACCGTACCCTTGATCTGAAACACCGCTGGCTATGCTACCAATTCCGGAAGAAATCGAGGAATATCCAGTCAAAGTACTGCGACGGGATTGGCTGTGCGGACCAATCATGTCATCGTCCTTATTCGCAGAAGTGGAACTTCTTCGGAACACCGACGAGAGACGTTGAGTGAGATTTGAAGTGGATGGTGCCTTCTTGCGTATTTTTGGTTTCTGTTGTGATTCAGTCGACGCTACGCTCGTCATTGATACGTTCGTGGCAGAAGCCGAAGCTGACGTCATACCTCCGGCGGCAAAAGAGCAGTCGTTTGTGAAGGAGATAATCGATGCACGGCGTTCGTTGGAAGTAGAAGATGTTGGACCGTGGAAGACGTCACTCAATCTTCGTTCCCTATCCTTTGGGTTGAAGATTTTTCGGAAAATTGAGCTCTTGCGACCCTAAAAAGAAATGAATGGTTGCTTGCTTCTATCAGCTGAACAACTTACAATACTATGTCCGCTGCAAGACGTTACTGAAGCTGTTGAAAGACGAGATATTGAAGCACTCCCTTCATCTGCTGATTCGTCATGGGATGTTATGTTCCCGTCGAAAAACTCTTTTGCTGCTCCGAATTGCTCACCACTTTCTTCTTCTTCTGCGATCGGTGCACTCATTCTTATCTAAATTCATTCCACAATTTATATAAGTTTGAATTAGATTTTACAAACCGTAGCAGTTGTTATAACCCCGCCTGCCGCTTCCTCCTCTTCTGGAACATCTTCCATGCTCTTCGTCGACAGATTCCTTTTCTGAATAGCCATACGCATTGAACGACGCATCGGAGTACTTCCAGCCTCGAGTTTCGAATTCGGCAAACGACGGGCGCTGTTACAGAGAGATCGGAAAAGTGAATGCTGTGTGTCGTCGTCATCAGCATCGCCTCCTGGAACACTTCGGGTCGACATCCGGAGGCCATTGCGTTGGAGAGGATTTCGGCTTGGAGTGCAAAAAACAGAAGTTGAGCCGATTGAGATAGCGTCCTCATCGATAGCATGATTTGATCCAATGGTGTCGACAGACATATGAGAGGAAATCTGAAGAAAAAATTAATTAAAATTTAAACATTATTGATTTAACTTACGGATATAGAGTCCTCCATCTTATTCGTTGACTCGCTTTTCGATCCTCCTACTGTCGGCATCACAAAGACATCTTGTTTTTCATCAGAATCGAGTGGCGGAACGGGTGTGAACGAATCTCGATTAACGAATGATCGGAGTTGCGCATTTTTGGCAATATTCGGAACAAGAGTGCTTGGACCTGATTCGACAGAGGTAACACTCGACTCGCTCTTGATTGATAACTGCGTGTCATTAGCTATCGTTTCGAGCTTCGATGTTGATGGTCCTCTGTTCAAAGTCTTCAAAGACGCTGTGCTTTTCACTTTGTTGATGATTCCTTTGAGAAACGAGCCTCGTCGATTCTCGACTTGTTCCTGAAAAAGCGATTTTAAGTAAACGAGGTGATGATTAATTTAGAACCTCATGATGCCAATTGGTCTTCTCTTTCTTCGACTTGTGATCCGCTTCATCTCTTGCGCAGAGGTCGATCTGCAAAATTTTAGTTCCTTGGTGAAATTTTCGACGACAAACTTACATGAATATCACTTTTTCGTTTTTTCGGTGCTGACATTCTGAAAATAAAATAGTTTTATAGAAAAGAGCAGAGAAAACAGTTTTGATTCGAACTACGCGCTAATACTCGACAGTGCGGGCGTTTGTTAGGCCGTGCGGAAAAAAACTAGTCCGCCAGAGCGTAATGCAACGAAAGTGCAGCCGTTCGCTGTGAAGGGCTGGTAGACGAACACAAAAACTCAACTTTAAGCGAGAAATACGAATGTTTTCTTCTTTATAATGAGCAAGAAAGACATTCATCACTTTTTCCCGAACAAAAACCTACATTTCTTTGAGAGCATGCAAATCAAATGAGTTCGTCGTCTTTGCCGGGCGATGGCTCGACGGATTTGAGCCTGTACTTATTCCAGAACGGCCGGAAAACAAACTCCCTTGAGCAGCTGGCGAAACGAACAGCGAAAAGTCGATTAAAACATTTGAATGGTACAGTAATCCTCTAATCGTTGCGGGACACTTTTTCTGTCGGCTGTGATGTTTCTTTCATTTTCGTGGTAAGACACTTTGTTTTTTATAAGCTGTGCGCCTTTAATTTATTGTTTTCTTGACAAATCTTTCGTTTTTGTTTGAATTCTGACGATTTCTACTGCGCTTTCTCTTGTTGAAGTTGTTTTTTTCATTTTAATAGTTTCATTCCTATATTAAAGTTTTGTTATTTTTAATATAATTCCACTGTTAGTCATTAATATCCGAACACTTTGTAGCTTATATCTTTTTCTCTTTCTTCTCTGCTCTCCCCCTTCCTTCGTTCTCTACACACACAACCACATTGAGGCCGCTGTATATAAAAAGAGACGCGACGCGTCGCTCTGCGCTGCGTTCCCCCCACTATGCGTCCCTTCTTCATCGATTCGTTCTTCTTCGTTGCCCCTCCTTTTCGTTGAGCCATTTGTATTCGTCACTTTACAGAGAAACATCCAAAGAAGTTCTCTCATAATGAGTGGAAGAAGAGATAACCGTCGTTCGAACGGAGGACGCGATGATGGAAGAGACCACCAGAAGCGTGGAGGAGGAGATGATAAGTGAGTTTTTATTAGAATTCGTCGGTAATAAAATGTGATGTTTGTAGACGTAGTGGTGGTGGAAACAGCTCTCGTAGCGGTGGCGGCGGTGGTGGAAGCCGAGGTGGAGCTGAACGCGGAATCGCACCGGCCCAACAGCCATACGAGAGCAGTGGTCATAGAAGCGGCGGCGGTGGTGGAGGTGCTGGAAGAAACAACGGAGCCGCTTTCAATGGTGCCGCATTCTCGGAATCTCAATTGATGGACGAGGTGCCAAAAAAGAAGTTCACCGGAAGATGCCGTCTTTTCGTCGGAAATTTGCCGAATGAAGTTAAAGAAGCCGAGCTCAAGGAGCTGTTTTCTCCACATGGAGATATCGCAGAGTGCTATCTCTCTGGAAAAGGATTCGCGTTCTTGAGACTGGTTAGTTTATCCGATCTGTGATTATTTGTTTCTTGTTTAGTATTTATTACTGTTTGATCTCACTATTTTAATTATCGCAAAACCGAAGTTGTCCAGAGCTGAGAAGACTGTTTATGGACTGAAAGTGTTTGCTATGTGGACTGTTCAAATGCTGACTATAATGGACTTTCAAACTTCATAATGTATTCTATCTATCATTAAGCCCAAAATATGTGCCATATACATCTAACTGCTACTACTGGACTCTTGAAAAGAATGTACTCATGTCTTAGCTCTGGAAACTTCGGTGGCGCGTGTTCAGATTGGTCATTCCCGTTATCGACTATTGGTACATGCATATTAAGGCTTCCATTCGGTCGGAAAATTTAGCTGACCGACCTCGCGGGCAGCTGGATCGGTTGGATCGGCGGTCGCTCACATGAGAAAAATGTGAATTTTAGTACTTTTCGAATCGTGAGCACCATAGTTTTTGGTACAAAATCAAAATTTTCAGCTCTTTTTGATACCACTGTTAAACCTAGTAGCGTTTCACTCTAAAAAATATTATTTTGCTAGCTAAATTGCAAGAAAAACGACTTTCAAACCCCCAAAAATAGCAGCTCAAAAACCCATTTTCCCAGAAATAGCTTATGTATGAGCGATCGCTGATTTTAGACCGACCGAAATGCATTGAAGCCAAATCTTAGCTCCTGTATATCTTCTATCCTCCTAAGTTCTCATCATGGTCCTGAAAATTGATTACCCTTATTTCATAAATCATAGCTTGAGAGAATTTCAGGAGATACGATTGGAAGTGAATTTTTGTTAGGTAGTATCCTGCTTTCTTTGTTATTTTCAACTTACTACTCTCATCTTATCATCTTATGTTTTTGCCTACATCTCATTTTTACTTAACAGGATACTCGTGCTCACGCGGAAAGTGCCAAGGAAGCCATCGACGGTCGTATCATACATGGCCGTCAAGTACGTGTCCGTTTTGCTGTTCATGGAGCGGCGATCAGAGTCAAAGAACTCTCGCCAACCGTCTCCAACGAGATGCTCTATCACGCGTTCTCTCATTTTGGAGACGTCGAAAGAGCCGTTCATATTGTTGATGAGAAGGGAAGACCGACGGGAGAAGGAATCGTCGAGTTCGAGAGAAAACCGAATTGTAACGAAGCGATGGCGGCGATCCGTGAAAAAGTTTTCCTTCTGACTGCGTGAGTAAGCTGAGAATGTGGCTGGTTCGCTTCGCAACGATTGGTCTACAGTGGGACGTGGGGGGAGTGAAGCGCAAATAGGGGAAACAGTATCGCAGTGTGCATGGCAATTGAATTGAATTGATAGCGGAACAGTTCTCTGAAAAGAACCCCCATTTTTTATATGATTTCAAAACTTTACGGTTAGAAGTGGTAGCTCCCAATGCTGTCGGAAACAGGGCCGCGGTCGGCCGCTACCCGGGTCGTGGGTAGGTTGCCTTCGACCCAGCTGTCAGTTCTTTCGGAATAAATTATCAGCCACCCAGAAACTTCTAGGGCGCTAAATCCTACTCATCACAGAAGTGCCCTTATCAAAAATCCGCGGCCTGTTTTTAACAGCCTTGGTGGTTTCTTCAAATTCTATCCCAGAACATGCAGCTATTTATAAAGACATTTTGAAGTTTTACGATTTTTAGTTTGGGGCAAAGCTGATATATCGCGCACTTCATTGTTGTCATCTTTTTCTAAACTGTTTAATTTTGTATAGGAGCCCAAAACCGCTCATTTGTGAAGTGTTGGAGCCAAGAGACGAAGACGATGGACTGGCTGAGAGAATGATCCCACGAACACCGGGTCTCTCGAAGTAAGTTTTGGACTGTAGGGAACTTTTCTGTGAGATAATACTTATTTAACTACTTGTATTTTATTCAGAAATTTAAAATGTAGATTCTCAAACTTGATCCTGATTTTCATGCTGAAATATTCATTTTCTCAATGGAATTTTATCAGAGAAAAGTCATTTGTATATGATTTACTAGCCAATTTTAGAACCTGATATTGGACTTCTAAAGGCATCAGTTTTCTTTTTTGACAGATAAAAACCGACTAAGCTAATCTAGTAATGAAAATTCAGAATAGTCGTCTAACCCAGATGCTCTATGCTCTTAAACACTCTCTGTCTATAATCAAAACACCCAAATTTCGTAATCTAGGGAACGTGAGCTCGGACCTCGGTTCCCCGCTCAGAACAGCTTCGAATATGTGTACGGAATGAAATGGAAGGAACTGTACGATGTGGAGCAGAAACGTCGTGCAGCACTTGATGAAGAGCTTCGTGACTCGCGTCGTCGACTGGAGGCCGACATGGAACTCGCTTATCAGGACTATCAAGCTCAAATGCTTCGTGAAGGTTACATGTTGTTTTATATATATTCTTCTTCTTTTTTGTTTTTGCGTATGAGTTTCCGAAAATTGGACTGGGGGACACAAGGCCAGGAAATGGTTCTTGTAATCCATTTTTTGTGGGACTGGTAAAACTCATAGAGTTTTGTGAAATGGATTTAGCCTCGATTCGAAAAAAAATGTATTTGAACTCCTGTAGGTAATTTTAAAGGATTTCGTACAAAAAAGTGACTGCGTTGACATGTAAAATCACTTTTCCACTACTCACTTTTGGAGAAGCATACTCTTTATTTTTTATATACCGTAAAACCTGTAATAGAAGGGCCCCGACACGGTCAATTGAGCCAATTTATCTCACATCCTGTCAAAGGTATAAAGAAGTTGTCTACTGATAATTTGTTTATAATAATATCAAGGAAAGTTTATCAGTTGACACATTTGATATTTTGCATAGGAAACGAGATAATTCAGCTCGAACTTGACAGGATGAGGCCCTACTATTACAGGTGTTACAGTAGGTCACGTTCTGTTAAAGTTCGGAAAGTTTTTGCTAAAGACTCCTTGGATTGAAAAGAATTTTGCTTAAATTGAAAGAACATCATGAATTATGAACGACAATTCGGGCCGCCTCTAATTGAAAAGTCCCTGCAATAAAACGGCCGGTCTTTCTAATACAGGTTTAGATACGTGCCCCTAGAGCTATGCAATCTTTAGGAAGAAGGCTTGTGAAGAATTCCTCATACCACTACTACATATTATTCTGTCTATCTTCTCTAACACATTCCACTTCAATGCTTTATACTCTATTTTCAGACCTCCAACGTCGCCAACAAGAGCTAGAGCGTCTCGAGGCTGCTCGTCGTGAACGAATGCGTGGAATCGGTGGGCCACCACAAGGAATGCCAGGAGGCATGCCGCCACCAGTCCAACCATTCCACGGACAAGGCGGTTTCGTGGCCGGCGGACCGCCAGGAGGACCACCAATATTCCAACAACAATTCCAGCAGCCACCACAAGGAATGTTCCCGTCTGGAGTTCCACCACCATTGATGGGAAGTGCCGGAGATTTGAGAGGAGACTTGAGAGGCGATATGAGAGGCGATCTGAGAGGAGCGCCTCCAGGAGGACCACCACAAGGAATGCCTGGAGGACCAGGAGGCATTCTTCAGAATCCACACGGTAGAAGTAATATGATAGAAGGAGTTCAACGGTTGCTGCAGATTTTCAAGAGTGATAATGGGCCACCAGGCATGCGTAAGTTTAATTTGATTTGATTTAAAATTTCTAAATATTCGGATTTTCAGCTGGCTGTGACTTCCCACCACAACAAGGACCACCAGGAGGAATGTTCGGAGGAGGAGGCGGAGGACCATACGGAGATGGAGGCTTTCCACCAGAGAAGAAACAGCGTCGATGATTTCTGAGCCACTTTTACACACAATAATAACTTATATTTCCGTTCTTTTAATCCATGTATGGATCCATATTTGATCCCTTGAAGTTTCAAAAACCTTTATTGTCTAGAAGTGGGTGTATTCTCGTATTTTTCCTTTCCCACTTTGGATCTCGCTATCTTACCCATTGTTTAAATGTAAATTATAAATTCCGTATTATAGTCTATATATTCATTCGATACATATACATACTAGCGAAGGGACCTTTTAAAGGCCAAATTTGAACGGGGATTAGTGGGTTTTTCTGTTTTAAATCAAGTGGGCACTTTGTGAAAAAAGCATTCGGGGGAACAAATGACCGGTGATGACAAGGGGCGAGTAGGTGGTTCAAGTAGGAAAACAATCGTGGAATTGCAGATAGAAATTGGGTAAAACGAAACATGATAAGAGCAATGTTGTCTGTTTCACTCGCCAGCGAGACAGTAGGGGGAAGGAATAGAACGTGAAAATTGTAAGGAGAAATGCTAATGATGAAGTAGTTAGTGAATGGAGTTGATGACGTCGACAATCTTCTGAGCCACGTTGAGAGTTGGATCGTGAATCAGCACGATGTCGTACACTTCCTCGTAGTGTTGGAGAGCGGCAGTGTCATCGAGCTGGAATTTTGAAAATATTTATTTTAAATAAATTTCTTTTTTTGCCTTTGTTTCTAGCATTCAAAACCCTTAAATCCGCAGAACATTGCACCTTAAAAATTTTCCGATTTCCCGCGCAGCAGTCTTGCGCCGACTTCGCTCCGCCCACTTTTCCACGTGCGCGCAATTCCGGAGCAAAAAAATGAGCCGTAACTCGGGAATGAATAAAATTTTGGCTAAAAATCTGCTAGAAAATATTTTTGTGACCCCTGTGCAAAGTGTTTGCTATAAAACTAACCGATCCATTGTAGTATCCGACTTTAAGAGTTGGTCCATCGCGTTCAACTCCAACGTCCATATGAATATCTCCCATGGAGTCTCCGAGAAGAATAACGTTGACTCTTCCATTGATCTCGTGGAAGAATGGCGCCTCTTTCTGAATCACTGACGAATTCTTGCAGAAAGTGTGAATCAATGGCTCAGAGAATGCGCACGCCTTCTCATCCTCATCGAACAAAATCATGTTGGAAATGAAATGAGTGTTGCGTGGAATGGCTCCAAGCTTTTGCTCCAGGAAATACTCGATGATGTTTCCAATTCCAGCACTGAAGATGACTAATGGAATGTTATGGGCGTCCAATGATTGAATAAAATCCTCAGCTCCATCCTTGAAAACGATTCGGGATTGACGAACGAAATCCTGAATCGTGTGTTTCGAGAACTTCTCATTGACAATCAACGAGTGAGATGTTCCCCACCACTTCTCCATATGTGGAATCTTCTCCTCCATTGTTAGTTTTGGACAAAACTCAATTGGATAGTATTTGTTCTTCAAGTCGACGAATTTTTGTCCGAGTTCTGGCTTCAGACGCATCACATTGTCGTCGAAAACTCCGTGAGTCGTCGAGAGACGTTCTCCACTCCCGTTGGCGAATCGAGATAATGTGTAGTCGAAATCACTGATCACCACTGTCTTTCCAGCTCCTCCAACAACCATTTTACGCAGTTTGGCTGCTACAGTAGTTGGATCCGACACACAATGCTTTCCTGTCCCAAAAGCCAGTTCATCAGGAGAGGCACGGCATCTGTCTTCTTGAGTTGTTCGATGCATTCCGCTTCGGCGATAGCAGCGGCGGCGTTGACGATCTCAGAGGCTTTGAACATGGCAGCGAACGGTGGAGAATCTAGTGAAGTCGGGGTGTCAGTGAGCGTCTCGGCTGAAAAATTGAACTTTTTTTGATTAGAACTGATAAGAAAAACAAAGTGCATTGATAAGAAGGTCAGGTCTACTTACTAGATTTGGCAGTATTCATAGTATATGACAAGTTAGACAATTTTTTTTTACAAAGTATTTGGTCTATTTGGTTTATATACAATCTCAATTCAAGTTTTCAAGTGCCTATTTTATGGAGTAGTCTATGAATGGGCAAAAAACGTTTTTCGAAAACTTGAAAAAAAGGACAAGTGGCGAAAAAATGAGGATGGCTTTTGAGGTCATTTCTTTTTGGTCAAACAACCAATTTTTATTCGATTCCGGTGTCGGAATCGAAAAGAATGAATAGAGCTGCTATATATGGAAAAAATCACGAGACTTTTCGAAAAATCCCATGAAGATCACATGGCAAATAAACGCGAAACACAGAAGAAGAAGAAAGAGTTTTCCTATCGAATCTTGAGAACTTTATAGTTAACGCTAGGCTCCGCCCTTTTTGCAGCGTTCCCCTATGAAGAGAAAGAGAAAAGAGAGATTTATGGCGTTTTTTTCGAGACAGTATCTCTGGCAGTCTAAGTATTGTCACCGACAGAGAGAGTGTAACTGGGGAAGGTTAAAACTGGAAGTTAGGTGTGGCCCGCCGAGAGACAGATGAAAGCTTTTTGGCAAAGAAAAAATGATATGGGTAACTGGTCGCCGCGACCCTTTTATTCGGATCGGGGGTTGGACTTCGGAATCAGTAACAGATAAATCAGTAGAATGATAAGAAGAGCGCCACTGTACTTTTTCGTCGCCATATTCAGTTTTACGATCGGGGGGCTCTTTGTCCTGTCATATTTCGAACTGATAGCCCTAGACAAAGAGAATTTTGCCACTGATAATAATAGCCAAGAGTTGGTTGAAAGGTTTCGAAGTTTCAAATTTGTTATTTTACGATTCGATTCGGTACTGATCAAAAGTACAACTTTTTGAATATTTTTGATCCTAGAGACTCAGCAGTTCAATTTAAAGCCTTCGCACTGTAGTATTACGGTCATTCGCGTTTGAGAGCATTTACTGGAAAATGAGTCACTAGATCGGATTTATAGCGGAGGCGGAAAGGATTTCTATTCACGTAATCAGGAATGACTAATATCAACCAGACCATGAAATACTTACAAGAATATAACGAGACGAATTGTCCCATATTGTCGAGTGGCTAGGAAAAATGATAATAATCTCAGAGCTCTAGATTTTTTATATATCTCAAAAGATGACGGCGACGACGTAAGCAATAAAATTAGCATTTTTCTAGGACACAATTTTAAGAAAAGGACTTCCGGGTTTCCTAGATTAAAACATAAGAACATACGCTCTCACAGATTCCCGACAATTCCAAGCCGACACGCCGCCGACGTCATCTGGAATCAGATAACCCGTCTAGGAACTCTTGAATTACACTCACCTTGAATCGGCGAACTTCCAGACATGCTTTGACGAGAGAAGTAGCAGCACAGATGACGGGAGCAGCAACAAAAAGAAGAAGAAAAGTTTTTGGACGAAAAAAATGCGAAAAGAGAGAAGCAATGTGTCAAAGGGAGAAGAACTAGGGACTATGTGGGCTCATTGAGGAGAGAGATAGCGTTAAACCGTAGAGGATTCGCAGAGAAAATGTGAAAAAAATTTGGAGAGAACTGAAGAGGAAAGAAAGAGGAAACGCATGGATCAACGAAAGGGTACTTGTTGAGGCAGCGGAGAGGAAGACAGAGCAGGAAGAGGGTTATTTGGTTTTCAGTCTCGAGTAGCTAAGATTAAGGTTGAAAGATATGAAGCATAGATGTTCGGAATGGAACGAGAACACTTTCGAAAATACACAAAAAAAAGCGAAAATTTGTGAAATCGGGAAAAATTGTACTTCCACTCGAGACCCTAAATCATATTTGCAGGCATGCGCCTTTGGAGAGCACACCAACTAGGAGGAAAAGAAAAAGTGGGAAGAACCATCTGGGAGGAAAAATGGGCGGAGC